TAGACATTGAATAGTTTACTACAGCAGGTAAGCAGTGGGCCCGTAGACATTGAATAGTTTACTACAGCAGGTAAGCAATGGTCCGTAGACATTGAATAGTTTACTACAGCAGGTAAGCAGTGGCCCCATAGACATTGAATAGTTTACTACAGCAGGTAAGCAGTGGGCCTGCAGCCATTGAATATGGATCTAGCCAGAATTGCTGATATGGTCCTAGTGGAAGAAGGGGAGGAGTGAAGGAATGTGTAGGTCAGCCACTTGAACCTTCACCTGCCACAGGGGTGGAGGGAAGGTGACAGGGAATGCTTAACATTGGAACAAAAAAATAGCAGTAGAAAGATAAATGCTGAAAGAGTTGGCTAAGCCGCTGTCTTTTTGGAGAGCAACTAGAAAGGAGGAAGACATGAAAACAAACACACACAAGTGTTTGACACTTGGGGTATGCTTCACTGTGATGATGATAAAACTTAAAAATCACCTAAAATTAATAGTATGAAACGCATGAAATGAAGTTTATCAACTATTATACTTTATTATGTGGAATTCAAGTACTATATTTTACTAAATGTAATATACTGAATTTGACTGTTAACCCTGTCTGATCCTATGTCCAATATAATGATTTTCCTTTCTGTTCCAATATCAGAAGACATCTGACTTTTTTATTCTTTTCTTTTTTTTTTTTTTTGCCTCTTATATTCCATGACAAGAGGCTAGTGACAATGCTGAGTACATTCTTTGGCCCTCAAACACAGTTGATTGATTACTGGCTATAGGAAGAAACAGCGTGTTCAATGTGAAAAACTAACAGTTATTTTAGAATACACAAAGTTAAAAAATTAAAAAACAAAGAATACACAAAATTTATGGAAAGAGTGGACAGAGCTGATCAGTATTGTGGATGTTAGGGATTTACAAGGAGGTCCTACAAATGGTGGAAAAACATTTTTCTTCTGGCTAATGGAAGTTGCAGTTGTGAACAGCTATATCCTTTTCTAAGTAGATAAAAGAGAGTGAGAAAAAGTGCAGACATGCTTTCCCTATAGGAGAAATCTCTTCACTCAGCTTGTGAGCAATGTGAGGCATAGAAATTCAGGGACAAGAGGAAGCCCATCATCTTCTGACACTGAGGAGAGGCTCGGTGGGAAGATGCAACTTATAATGCAAAATGAAAAAAAAAATCAACAAAGGATTGCATGGTGTGCAGTGGAAGGAATGAGAAGGTGGAAAGAGAGAAGCCGTATCCACCGTGAGACACACAGAGGAAGCCTGGGCTTCACCCTGGAGATAGCTCAGAAAGTGTCACACTCAAAATTATAAACAGAAATGAACACTTTAATTACTTTATTTAACCTAAAATAGATAATAAAATCATCACGTGAGTTCATATTTATGTTTTTCTCTTCTAAAACTGTACGATAATTACAAGTAATCCACCAAACTCTTTCTCACTCAAAATGAATAAGAGCTGGGGAATATGCAGGTGGCAGAAAAATTTTAAAGAACAGAGCCTATGAGACTACATGATTGCTACAAGCACCCACTGCCCTGTCTTCTAGGAAAGCACCGGGCTGTGATTTGCAGTTTTTCCTGTTGGATAAGGTCTGTGGAAGTGCTTGTCTCTCTGAGGAGCTAACATTGACTCTAAGCCATGTCATTAGAACACTCGCTCTGTAGACTTTTATTCTTGATCACAGTGACATAACGACTGAAAATTGTTGAGACTGAATCATCCCAGCTGTGACAGCATGAAGAGACTACCCTGTGTTCCTGCTACCCAGAGCTCCCCACTTCCTTGTGTCCTTACTGGATGATTTTCCTATAGGTTGCATCTCATGAATTCCTTTTCTGTTTTAACTAGTGAGTCAATTTCAGTTTCTTATAACCAAGGAGCTCTAACTGATAAATAAATTTCAGCTGGATAAGAGAAAAAGCAGGGTTACAATTAAAGGGGTGTGGCTTGGCACCCATAGCTCAGTGGTTCAGGTGCTATCCATATACACCAGGGCTGGCAGGTTCAAACCTGGCCCATGCCTAACAATGACCACAATAACAACAACAAAAATAGCCAGGTGTTGTGGCAGGCACCTGTATTCCCAGCTATTTGGGAGGCTGAGGCAAAAGAATTGCTTAAGGCCATGAGTCTGAGGTTGCTATGAGCTGTGATGCCACAGCACCGTACCAAGGGTGACATAGTGAGACTCTGTCTCCAAAAAAATAAAAAAAAATTAAAGTGATGTGTTGGTATGTATGTCCATAGGTAACAAGCAAGTAGGCAAGACAGGTGAGCACAGGTGAAAACAAAAAGACAGTAGAGCTTAAAAGTCCACCCAACAGAAATCAACTTAAAAAGTACTAAAGACAAATGGGTCATTCTGAAATAATAGAAGATATAATTTCTAAGGAAGCTGTAACAGTATTATGAGGCTCAAAAAAAAAAAAAATTACAAACCCTCCTCCCCAAAACTTAGCAGACAAACACAAATGCAAAATGCAGACAAAAATCTTAAAAACTGAGGGAACCTAATCAAAGTGTAGTTGGTAGTAGGGGATTTTAATTTATCTGTTTCAGAATTTGCCTTAGTTCATTTGTATTACTATAAAGGAACACCTTGGACTGGGTGGTTTCTACTCAGTAAAGGTGTTTATCTGGCTTGAGTTCTCCAGGCTGTATGAGAAGCCTGGCGTGAGCATCTGCTCCTGGGGAGGGCGTCAGGGAGCGTCCACTGTGGTGGACGAGGAAAAGGCCACCGTGTGCAGAGATGGTGTGTGAGGGTGGTGGAGGGGAGGGAAATGTCAGGGTCTTCTTAAAAAAATAACTAACTTTTGTGGGAACTAACAGAATGGGAACACCAAGCCCATTCATGAGGGATCCACCCCCATGACCCAAACCCCTCCTGTAGGTCCCACCTCTAACACTGGTGATCACCTTGCAACATGAGCTTTGGAGGGTCAAATATCACACTGGAGCAAAATTTAACAGAGAAAATAGAACATGGAGATGTACAAACCATTAGAGAAAGAAACAGAAAATAGGAATAGGGAAAATACACGTGATTAATAAATATATGAAAATATGCTCACTCACATTTAAGAAAATGCTTATTAAAGTAACAGTAAGAAAATATTTTTAATCCATTAAATTGGCAAAAATTTAAGAGTTAGAATGTCTAGTGCTGGGGAAGATATTGAAAAATAGGTACTTCCAAAGCTGTTGATAGAAATGGAAATCATTACAGTACTTGAGGATATAACCTTTAAATATCTCTTCAGACTGTGAATGCTCATACCCTTTGACTCAGCGATCTGAATTTTGGGAATCTATCTTATAGAATTAATTAGAATCAAATGTATTGGATGTGCACACGAGAATGTTTATTACAACATTGCAGTGGCAAAAAATTGAGGAAACCCTGAATATTGCTAAATGGAATAGCTCTGAATAAAATTGTAGTGTGTCCATAGTATGGGGTATTATTCAGCTATCAAGGAGTTGGCACTAGCTCTCAACTTGGACATACTGACTTGGAAGCAAATGGCAAAATAATGTGTTTGATATGACTTTGTATAAAATATATAATGAAAACCATATGCGTGGTGTCAGGGTCCCGCCTCAGGGGCAGGGGCCTCTAAAACCTGTGGAAACTAGTGGTGACTGACTGAAGAAATACAGAGTTAGAAACAGAGGTAAAGAAAGAGACACGAGACATAGAGTAGAATTTAAAGTGGGAGCTCAGGGGTGCATTGCCCATCATGGGATTCCAGTAATGGCCCAGAGTGTTTGCTCCACTCTGCTTTGATTGAAGTCTGTTTGCCCAGAGGGTAAGGTAAGGGAGGGAACAAAGATGCCAGCAGTTTCTCTGAGTGAGCATATCAGCTCCTCTTATTATTATTTAAGGGTTTGGCTAGCCTTGAGAAATCTAAAATCTGAGCCTTGTATTGGGAGAGCCTCCCACTTGATATCACACACACAGATTTCTAGGGAGGTGTTAAACTCCTCTAGGTCCCTGTGGAGTTAAATGCCGCTGGCATTAATCTCCTCTGAGGAATCAGTGGGAGGGAGGAATTTTCCTCCCAACACCACCACAGAGGATCTTCCTCTGCGATAAGGGATATAAGCTCTTCAGCCCATATCTCAAGGCTCAAGCTACTCCCTTGATCTCTGCCCCAGGCAAATGCAGATCTCCACAGTGGGTATCTGCGTTGCCTGTTTACCTGGCAGGAAACAACCCAGTTAGTGTGTCTTTCAAGGTCTTTGCCATATCCTCTTCTATGACCATTTTTCCTCATGGTGCTCACAGACCCAGCAGGGTGTTTGTAAGCTGTATCCCCAACAGGTTAGAATTTCAGAAAAGGCAGGAAGCTTGCTCAATGGCTAGCTGAAATGTAAACCAGCTGACTTTTCTTTGTTCCAACTCACTCAGCTTACTTTTTAATTTTCCTCTTTTTCTGGGGGTGCTTTCCCTTGCCAAGAATGGGGTCTTTGGTCCTCATTCTCCATGCAGATGGTATGTATGTATGTATGAAAATGCTTATACATTTTAAACAAAGGTGTGGAAGCATCAGCCAAGCTGTTAATAATTGTCACTTTAGGGAATTGAGATGGATAAAGAAGATCTTGCCTTTTTTCACTTTCGATAGTAAACCCTGAGGCGTTTTTAATGAAGATTAGTAATTGATCAAATTAGAATTTTACCAAGGTAATAACTTTTCTAGGAAACATTGTATTTAATGGCAATATCTTGGCAGTTTTAAGTGATCAAGGTGTGGGTGTACTTGTCTATGAATTGTAGCAGAATTTCTTTTTATTGCCAATTATTGGGATTTGCTATATGATATTTTACATTTTATTTAAAGGGTAACTTGTTCAGTAGTATTAGGGGTTCTGTTGTTATACTTCTAAATATTTTTGTTTTTGATAGGGCTGACTTCATCAGTGGAGTACAACATAAAGGAATTGGAACAAGAACTTGAAAATGTAAAGACTCTTAAGACAAAATTAGGTATTGTATTTACATTTTTCTTGGTTTATGGTTTCTTATTGGTCTTGGTTTCTTATTGAAGATTTTACTGAAGTCTAAAATATTAGAGAATTTATGAAATCTTTATGTTAAAAGCTTTCAATCTATCTAACCTCATTGAAAAAGACTGTCTTTTAGTTTGGGGAGAGGATAAATGTGTATTCATTCACTGTTTTTGTTTTGTATGTATACAAATGGCTCTTCAAACATGTTGACATTCTAAGATGTTGCTCCACTCTCCCTTTTTTTGAGACAGAGCCTCAAGCTGTCCCCCTGGGTAGAGTGCTGTGGCATCCCAGCTCACAGCAACCTCCAACTCCTGGGCTCAAGCGAGTCTCCTGCCTCAGCCTCCCAAGTAGCTGGGACCACAGGCACCTGCCACAACTCTCGGCTGTTTTTTGGTTGCAGCCATCATTGTTGTTTGGCGGGTCTGGGCTGGATTCGAACTCGCCAGCTCAGGTGTATGTGGCTGGCGCCTTAGCCGCTTGAGCCACAGGCGCCGAGCCTCCACTCTCTTTTTGTTTGCATTATTTTGGACAAGTCATACGTCATGCTTATCTTTTCATGTGTCTTTTTTCTATATCTGCTTTTAAGATATACTCTTTAGCATTGATTTTGGGTTCAGTTCCTCTTAGATCTAGGAATTTATAGTTTTCATCTAATTTGGAAAAATTTTCTTTTAGTGCATAATCCTTTTAATATGCTGCTTACTAAGCTATCTATGGTTTGCTATTTTGTATTATTATTTTTAATATCCATTACCTCTCTAAATAGTTTTATTTCCCCTCTGTGCTTCCCTTTTCAGGGCATAGTTCAAGGCTATTCTTTTAGTTTCATTTTGTACAGTTTCCATTGCCGTCTTCACTTTCACTCATCTTTTCTTCTGCATATCTAATGTACCTTTAATCCTGTCTTTTTTCTCAGACACTGCAGTTTCATCTCTAGAAATTCTGTTTTGAGTTGCTTTATATGTTTAATGTCTTTAATTTTTACGTGTTCACTCTGTGTCCTCCACCTTTCTGAATATATAGAATACAACTGTGATAGTACTTGTAATGTTTTTGTCTGCTAATTCTAACATTTGTGTTGGTTTTTGCTAAGTTTTGGTTGATTGTTTTTTCCCTCATCATTGGTTGTATTTTCTGTTTCTTTGAATGCCTGGCAGTTTTTGACTAGAAAATAGATACTGTGAATTTTGTCTTGTTGGAGGCCTCGTTTATAGTATTCCTCTTGTGAGTGAGGTACTTAGTTCTGGGATGCTCTTGTTCTGTACTTGAGAACAGTTTGATATTATTTTGTCTTGGTTTGAAGACTAACTAGGCTAGACCAGTGCTTCATCACATCTATGGCTACTGATTTCCCTGAGGGAGCAGACCCTTTTGTGCATTTTCTCCGATGGGCTATGATTTATGAGGTTTATACTGTTCTGTGGGAGCAAGCGCTATTCCTGGCCCTTTATGATTGCTAACGACTGTTTTTTCTCATTTTTTGGGTGGTTCTTTCTTTAGTCATGGATTATTTCCTCACACACCTGAGCCGGTCATCACTGTGCTGGACACTCCAGGGTGACCCTTTCTCAGGTCCTCATAGTTCTTTTTCTTTAGTACAGTCTCCTTCCTGGCACTTTACTCTACAAACTCCAGTTGACTTCGTCTCCCCAGACTCCCATTTCATGTCCTTAACTCAAGATATGAGCAAGGTCTTCCCCTTGCACCAAGGCCTGGACGTTTTCTCAGGTGGGCTGTCAGCCAGGCTTGCACTGCACTCCCACCTCTCAGAGGTCTTTGTTCTCCTGTGATCAGATGTCCAATGTCATGAAGATACTGTTTCATATACATGTATTTTTTGTGTGTTTCTTAATTATTTCAGGCTGGGTGGTAGATCTGGTCCCTGTTGTTGTTTCATCCTCAGAAGTGGAAGCCCAGTATTGTTTTTGAAAGTCAAATGATCATTCTTTTTTTTTTTTCTCTTAGTAACATTATATTACCTAAAGTTACTTTAGTCATCGTACTATTGGTGGATATGAGGTATGTTTCCAGCTTCCTGTTGTTATGAATAATGTTGCTATAAGCATTCTTACACATACCACTTGGCATATATTTTTCATAGTGCACATATTAAAAATGGAAATATAAGATCATTGTATTAATGCCTATACCAGTTTTGTAGATGCCAAGCTGCCCATAGTTGCATTCTTTTTCATCCCAGCTAGATGTGAGGAGTCCCTGTTGCTCCATCACCTTGCCAAGACTTGGCTGTGTTGGACTCTGAGTTTTTTTTTACCAGTTTAGTGGATGTGAAGTGGTGTTCCATTGGTATTCTAATTTGTATGTTTTTGGTTTGTGTTTCTGTTTTTATTTCTAGTGCTCATGTAACTTCTGTGTGAAAAAACCCATTAATATTTAATTTAATGCAGGTTTGCTGGCAGTAGACTCTCTTAGTTTTTGTTTATCTGAAGACATAGTTACGTTGTGTTCTAGGTTGTAGGGTGTTTTATTATTTGTCTTACACAATTTAGATTTTTTATTTGGTAGTTTTCGACTGTGATGTCATTTTATTGTCTTCTTGTTTCTTGTTAAAAGTCATATTGTTGCTCTTCTGAAGGGCTTTTAAAGATTTTCTTTTTGTCTTTGTTTTGCAGTTTTACTCAAAATTGTTTTCTTTATACTTGTCCTTCTTGAAGTCAGTGTTACTGCTGATTCTGTGGCTTGATGCCTTTCATCCACTGGGGAAAATAATTAGCCATTATCTTTTTGTTTTTATATTTCATTGTATTGCTACTATTTTTTTTTTTTATCACCAATTAATGTGAGGGTACAGATATTCAGGTTACACTATTTTCAATTCTAAGGTAAAGTTCAAGTTGTAGATGAGCCCGTCATCCCAGGGCTGTGCTGTGTACCCTCACACGGTGCACATCAGGTGAGATCCACCAGTTGCCCTCCCACCTCCTCTCCCCTTTGCTAGACTATATTAGTGTTTTTTCTTTCCTGTGGGTGGGTAGTTGTTTATATATTGGTTTCATATTAGTATTGAGTACATTGGATCTTATTTTTTCCATTCTTGAGATATTTTACTACAAAGAATGTATATCAGCTCCATTCAAGTAAATACAAAAGATGTGAGGTCTCCATCTTTTCTTATGGCTGAATAGTACTCCATACAAATGCCACAGTTTGTTAATCCATTCATGGGTTGGTGGGTATTTGGGCTGCTTCCACAACTTGGCAGTTGTGAATTGAGCTGCAATAAACATTCTGGTGCAAATGTCCTTGTGATAAAATTTTTGTTCTTCTGGGTAGATGCCTAGTGATGGGATTCTCTGAAGATGGCAGATGAAAGGCCAAGACATGTTAGCCACTGTCCTATCAGATACTGCTTGTGCCTCACTCTTTCATTTCCTCAGACTGCAGTTATATGCATGCTGGACTATCTCACTCTTAATGTTCCTCCTGATTTTATGTCTGTGCATTAGTCCGTGATCTCTTCTAGTGGTCTTTTTAAAATTTCCTTATTATAGCTATGTTATAACTGTTGTCAGAACTATCTATTGAATTCATCATTTTAGTTACAGTAGTTCTTAGTTCCTTTTCTTATAGATTCAAATTCACTTATGAAATTTGCCATTTTGTCACTTATTTTATTTAACATATTAATTGTTTATTTTAAGGCCTCTTTCTGATCCAGTGTGTGGATCAACTGAAGGTCTGTCTCCCTTGTCTTTTCCCCCATCTTTGTCCTGTCTCCTGGTAATGTTTCATGGAAAACTGGACATTTTTTGTACAAAATTAAAAGTCTAGATGATATTTTCTTTCTTTCCCTTTTTTTTTTTTTTGAGAGGATTTACTTTTGTTTCATATATATTTTGTTTCTTGTAGACAATTAGAATAGGAACCTCTCAATTTAATCCATGTGGGCTTGAGATCATTCAAGATGGTGCTTTGGTCTTTACAAGGCCTGCCTGATCTGTTTTTAGTTTGGTATTATCCTAGGGTATAGTTTTTTATTGATCTTAATTGAGAGCCTGGTTGTTTTGTTTTTGACTGTGACCCTATCTTCTTAATGAACTATAATTTTATCCTTGCAAGAAAACTCCGCCCAGAGGAAGCTTTGCTTTGCCTCTCATTCTCCTGGCCGCATCCTTCTGTTGTTCTTTCCAGCCTCTCAGCCACAGGTGCCTTATGGGAAGGCAGCATTGCAGCTGGGCTCACTTCTTTGCTTTTCGTTTTTTTCTGTGATCACAGCTTCTCAAATTCTGGCTTCCATGACAGCCCCAAGCTCCAGTGTTTGTGTCTCTGGCTCTGCTAAGTTTGCTGAAAGCTTTGCTTTACCATTGTGACCTTTTACTCGTTGATTCCACAGCCCCAGGGGTCTATGCCAGTTATATGTTGGAAGTTGCCTTGCAGGTAGAGGTATTCCAGATTGGAGGACTTACCTCAATTCACTTTGCAGAATATTGGCCCCTCAGATTTCATTGTCTTAGTAGCTCTCTGACAGGTTCATAGGAATTTTTGTTGTTGTTGTTAAATTAAGTTTGATACATCTGTTCCACTATTTCTAAGCATGAGAATTGGTGTGATGTAAGGTAGTCTGTTATAGCCAGAAGCAGAAGTTTGTATCTAGCATTTAGAAATGGAAAGTGTTTATCTTTAGGATATGAAAATATAAATGATTTTTATTAGTATTACTTGATTTATTCAAATATATATCTCTATCAATATGTAGCTCTGTTTGAAATACAATGCAGTTACCCTCCATGTCTGTGGAGGATGGTTCTAGGACCCCCTGCAGGTACCAGGGTCCAACTGCCATTGGATATTTCAAAGTAAGGTGTTTGTTAACAATATATTTCCTTAACCACTGAGATGTCTTTACAGAGCTGAAATATAAACATCACCAGGATTGAGCTATTTAATATAACAAATATGTTCTAATATTCTGATTTTTATAGTTTCTGAAGGAAGATTAAAAATAATTTATATTTTTCAAGAAAGAAATCATTTATGGTAAAATAATGCATACTGATCATCTATGGAATGAAAATGTGAATCTTAAGAGAATTTTTGGGAATTACCAAAATCTATTACTTTATTTTTCCTTCTAATAGAGAGGCGGAAAAAGGCTTCAGCATGGGAAAGAAATTTGGTGTATCCTGCTGTTATGGTTCTTCTCCTTATTGAGACGGTAAGGAATTGTTTGCCTAGTAAATACATGTAGAAGGAAATCATATTTTATTTACTTCAGCGTGTGAATGTGACACCTCTCTCTGCTAAAGGGTCTCTACTATGCTGGTTTTCTATCAGCAGGATTAAAGTCCATCTATGCTTTTATTTATAAAAACTCAATAGAGCAAAATGGAAACTGATGACAAGAAGAATTTTCAAGATTGTTTTTTCATGAAATTAGGAAATTCAACTTTTTGTTTTTTTTGAAAATTAAGAAAACATAAAATGTTGCAGATACTCCTCTTCAAACTCTGATAGAATATGAAATTAGTTCTGATAATATTTTACTATAACTTTTACTGTGGAGTTGTGTGTTTCCAATTGGGGAGATTTCTTAGTAAAAGGATCGATATTACTAGCTTTTGTCATAAGGTCTAAAATTAGAATAACTTGGAGGATCTTTAGGACTCATTGAGGAGTTTTGTATGTGGAGTGATCATGCTAGTATTGTATGTAGGATTTTCTAAAACACACATTTGATTACTTAGAGTTTAACATTTGTGTGTTGATTGAGAGCTGACCGCCTGTCCTTTATGTTACAGTCCATCTCGGTCCTCCTGGTGGCTTGTAATATTCTTTGCCTACTGGTTGATGAAACAGCAATGCCAAAGGGAACAAGGGTAAAGTGAAATGCTTTAAAATGTCTTTCTTTTGCAGAAATATTATGTGTATATACTCTGGAATATTTCAGATAAGTGAATGGAGACACTCACCTTTCTGCATGTATAGACTTCAAGTTGTGTGGATTTCTTTATGCAAATAGCCTTCACAAACAATGTTTATAAACTATTATTTTTGTTTCTAATTTTTATACTTTGGCTTGTCAGGGCCTTTTTTCAAGTACAAGAGTTTGAAAGTGTCACACAGCTTATGAAACTGGACCAAAATGTATAATTACTGAAAGAGAGGCATAGTCCTTTTCATGATTATATTTTCTCTTGTTTAAAAACTTATGATTTCAGCTTGGCATTTGTGCTCAGTGGTTAGGGTGCCTGCCACTTACACCAGGGCTGGTGGGTTTGAACCCTACCCAGGCCCACTAATCAACAATGACAACTACGACAAAAAAATAGCCAGGTGTTGTGGCCTGTAGTCCCAGCTGCTTGGGAGGCTGAGGTAAGAGAATCACTTGAGCCCAGGAGATTGAGGTTGCTATGAGCTGTGACACCACGACATTCTCCCAAGGGCAACATAGTGAGACTCTGTCTCAAAAAAACAAACAAACAAACAAAACCCCCCAACAATAAAACCTGATGATTTCATGAAATTCTGTCAGTTGGCCTACTTGAATATATTCTCCACGTGGAAGGTAGTTACATCTGAATATTGGTATTTGACATACTTTTTCTAGGTGTTTCTGTAAAGTTTTGGAGACTTAAGGTGGTATTTAAATTTTAACATTTTATTATGTGTTTGCTCATTCAGCAGCTCATCCGTTCTTGTCACAGTGACTTAAGACCTTTCAGACCTTTGATGTCACTTACTTCCTGAACCAGATGATAGGTCTTTTTTTTCTTCTCTCCATAGATGGAGTCTTTTTTATTTTTATTAAATCATAGCAGTGTACATTAATGCAATCATGGACAGATGATAGGTTTTTCACTCTCATTAAAAAAAAGTTAATATCTATCTTAATTCCTTCTTCTCAGTCTCAGACAAATATACCCTATTTCTTTTCAAAGACTAATTCCTTTAACCACATTCTGGATACAGATCACCCCACCCCAACCTTTCCAGGACCTTATGCCATCTGTTATTGCCACTGTCACATCTGGGTACAGCTTCTTGTCTGTGAGTGTCAGCCTACCAACACGCTCCAGGTTCCTTCTACCAAGCAACAATAATAAACTCTTCCCCCATCTATGACTTTGTTGTTTTGTTTGGTTGTTTATACCCAAACCTACTGACAGAGCAGTAGGTTGTTTACCGTACTGACTTCCTCTTTGCTCTTTAACCCATTTTACTGTATCAGCAAAACAAGTAAGACCCAAGCCTGGTGGTACATTTTTGAACTGTCCCCCTCAGTGCATGGTAGAGAATGACTCGTACATTGTATGTGCTCCCTGTGTTATTGTACAAATAAATCAGATCATCTTCTTTGCCTGTACACATTCTCTTGAGGCAAAGAATACTTTCAAAGTATTGTATTTTACATCTTGGTCAACAAGATTTTGTAGGGGAGAAAAAGTACTGTTTTTTCCTCACCTATTGCTGAGATTCAAAAAGGCTGAGGCCCTTATAACAAAAGACAGATTAACAAGAGAAAAGCAGACAGATTTATTTAGGTAAGTTTAGGTGTCATTGGAGACTTCAGAAATGAAGACCAAATAACTGGGAGAACCTGTGTATTTTTTTTTTAAACTTTATTTTATTATTATTATTATTATTATTTTGTTGTTGTTGCAGTTTGGCCGGGGCTGGGTTTGAACTCACCACCCTCGGTATATGGGGCTGACACCCTACTCACTGAGCCACAGGTACCACCTGAACCTGTGTATTTTTATGCTGAAGTTTGATAGAGGGAGTCATCATGGGGAAGTTGGATTGGACAAGAGGGCTGTGCTCTGATGGTTATGAACAGCAAAGGCTAGCAAGGCCTTTGGTCCCAGAGTCTTCTGAGATAAGGATGCTTCATTCCTCCAGGCATAGCGAGGGCATCTCTCCTATTAGGGTCTGATGGCCCACTTCAGAGGATAAAGGGGAGAGGTCAGAGAGCCACCTTCCTAGGCTTTCTTAGACACCAGAGTGCCATCTTTTGTGGTAGTGTGTCCTAACCCCATCACTTTCTATTAGCATTATTTATTTCTTCTTCAAAAGATTGATAAAAGGTTATTTTTTTATTAGCCTGACTATACATTCTTAATTATCTCTTGTGTTTCTATTAGAGGCAATTTAAACTGATCCATAAAATAGTAATTCATAATCAGATAGTTCTTTTAATTAGTAATCTTCCAAAATATTATTTCTAATTTAGTAGGGAATGATTTTTGCCTGTCTCACTGTATTGATTATAAAAGTATTAATTTTTCTGTTTTTCTTTAAGTTCTAGGTAAAGATAGGTTTTGCAATAGGTATGCTGATTCAGAAAACATTTATAGCATTACCTTTTAAAATCTGAGTTAGCAGGTGCATCTTTTATAACTCTGAATTCCCAAGGAAGACTCGAGGAAACTTTCAACTGAAGAAGCAGGATATACATATTTATTTTCTATGCATAGCTTAATTTTAACATACTTTAATTGTGTAACTTTTTTATGTTGCCTCAGTGTTCAGATAGTTTTAAATTCTGTTCCTATTGTACTGTTGTATTAAAAATGTTTTTCTCCCAAAAATATTCAGGATTTTTTTTCAAGTAGCAAATTGTCCCATTTTTATAATAGTAAGCATAATCATATCATTTTGACAAGTAACTTAAATTACATTTGAGATATATCACTTTTTTTTTTTTGAGCTTCTTTAACATGATGGCTGAATTTGTTGATGAAATCAGTCTAATGTCATATTTTTTTGGCCTTTGAAAGTCTAGTGTTATTTCCAGGTATTACACATTCCTAATTTCAGTGTTCTTGTATTTTTGAGACAATTTTAGGGAAACAAAATGTAGTGATGTTGTTAAATTCTGAAAAATGTTTTTCTCCCCAGGGACCTGGAATAGGAAACGCCTCCCTTTCTACTTTTGGTTTTGTGGGAGCTGCACTTGAAATCATTTTGATTTTGTATCCTTTAATGGCATATTTTTTCTGTTATTGAGTTTTCTGTCTAGTCTACTTTTCTGAGACTGGTGATTTACTAAGACACTTGTCTAGAAGGTTAGTCTTCCTTCAGCACTGAAAGTGGGCTTTTGTATTATTTTTCCTATGGGCCTTAAGACTTTCTAGAGACTTTTGAGAACTTAGGGAAACTTGCATTCTTTTGGAGAGTTTTTTCCCTTGATTCTCACAGCTATCTTATGGTGTCCTCTGTTGTTGGCTTCTATAGCCTTCGGTTTTTTGGAAACTTTACACCCAAGAAGGATGACACAACCATGACAAAGGTAAGGTGGAATCTTAGGTGACTGTGGCTCTCTTTTGCCTTCCAAAACAAATGGACTGTTTTATTTAGTAATTGCCCTGAGTAGTTCCTTTGCCGTGATAGGTATTTGTTTATAAGTTACGTAAACACAAACTGGTAGATTTTCAAAATGCTGAGTGAGTGGGAAAGGATGTGTTCTGTTTAATTTGGGTGGCGTCCATTCACTTGTAAATGCATAAATCTGCGGGCTTGTTAACTAGCCTTAGACGGCTCCTGAAAGGACTCTTGTTCCTCTAAAGAACATGTTTTGCTAATGAGTAACTTCGATTGTGCTCACTGTACTTCAGGGAGCTTGTTTGAAATCTGAAGAACTTAGTTGCTACAAGTAGTAGAGACAAAGTATTTCAAATTTGAATAATTAAAATAAGATGGAAGAGTTCTATTCAGAAACATTGTGTAGCCTGAGGTTAATTTGACTTTCTGCAATATGTCTTTGGCTTCAGAATAATAAAGGCTATTTCCTTATATAGTGACTGAGTCTTTTGTAAAATATTCCTATCGGCTGACAAAGAAGGATAACTAATAATAATGAATTGCTGGCTCGGTTTCTTTTTATCATATATTCCATATCTTTAGCCTATTTAAAGGGGAAAAGTTGTTTTATACGTATGTATTTGTACACTCACACATATATGTATATATTGCTGTGACTTCTTTAAAGTCAGTAAGTAGTTGAGCTATTTAGTCTAAGTGATCATAAGCATTAACGATATTTTCAATTGCTTTTATTTAGTATAAAAGAATAAGTGTGGAATACACTGAAAATGAATTACTAGATGTTTTGATTTCTGGAGCTTTTAAAATTTAATCTTATAATAGTTAAACATATTAGAAGTATATACTGTATAAGAGATCTTGAGCAATAACCTGGCTTTAAAAATACATTCAGAAGTATACAATGTGTTAATTCTTTTTTACTTGACAGGAAAATCTTTTTGAAATTGGCAACCACAATCAATAATATAAAATGCATTATCTACATAAAAAGTAATTTAAGTGTTCTGTAACTTTGTATTTGTGCCAGGTACTATTAAAGATCTTCTAGAACTTACAAGTATAACTTTTAATATTTGTAGAAAAAGTTTATTATCCTTTTGAATTTCTATGTTGAATAGTAAGTATCATTGAGAAGTTAGCAGAGTACAATAGGTGACGAAAGTGTACAGTAATTTCCCAGAATGTGCTAGGTTTTATTGTCCTGCCATTGGCCCAATATTCTTCCTGATTTTTTATAACAGATCATTGGGAATTGTGTGTCAATCTTGGTTTTGAGCTCCGCTCTGCCTGTGATGTCAAGAACACTGGGTAAGCTTGAAAGAGAAATTTTCATAATAAAATTCATATTTTTTTAAATTCATATTTTTTAAAAATATCTTTACTAAACTCCATTAACTTTTAGTGCCTAAGTTTTTCATAAAGATCATGTTGAACTAGAATGTTTCTTCCCACATGAGTTTACTTTTATATTTCTTTTATGTGTGGGCCCGTATCAAGATAGGTCCTTTTATCAAATAAGATCATTTATTTTTTAAGCACTTGAAACATTCCTTGTCCAAACAATGGACTTTGTTTTTTTTACTTTTATAAATTAGGCTTTTGAATCCTCTAGTGAGAAAACGGATTTCTTTTAATGAAAGTATTGAATGCTGAACATATGAAACCAATTTTTCTTATGTAAAGTGTCTTTTAAAATTTATGATTTGTGTGGTTTAAAATCGAAAATCTGTAAACTTATTTTAAGCTGCTTTGTGTCCACCACATAGTTGAAGGCTGTGTGATACCCGAGAGTGCTGACTCAGAGGACACCCTGAAGTACTGGAGTTTCCACCAGCCTGTCATTCACTCATATTGTTCTCTTAATTTTTCAGTGTACAGAGAACTTTGGTCGTCTTTGAAAAGTAAGACAGATTCTCCCTTAGCTGCTGACAGTTTGCTGAGTCTTCACTTGGCCTCCTTACCTTTTATACAACACTATTGTAGATTTTGTCCTCCGTGCTTGGCTGAATATTACTTCAGACAGAAATTCCCACTGAGCAGTTCTGTCTGATTCTCAAGACTTAGGTTTTGATTTGAGTTGTCCACAAATGATTAGAAAAACTCCATTTTTAAGCTTTAGCACAAATTGCTAGTAACCTTGAGTTGCTTTTGTTTCAGTTCTTGTATTGCTTCCATTATTTATTCAAGATGCATAGACATCAGTGATGCAGGCTGTGCCGCAAAAATACACACTTTATAATTATCTTCATAATTCCTACTAAGAATTTCATGTGTAATAGAAAATGAAATTAAAGTGCAGATATAAAGCTTTTTTATGTAAATAGCTTTATTTCTTTTGTGCTTGCCTTTTAGGACTTGTTACCATTCTGACATCCACTTACCATGTGTGAATCTTGAAAATGACAAAAATATGCACTTCAGATAATCTATTTTAAAGCTAAATATTATCATTTATATTATGATGGTCTATCAAATAATTTGTGATATTCCAGCCACCCCACCTTTTTAACATTATGAAACTCACTGTATCTGTGATTTAAGATTAATTGGTAATTACTAATATATACTGATTTTATAGAAGAAAATTACATGCTGAATATAGTTTTAATACAAAGAAAACAAATTAATGGTAAAATTTACTTTTTGAACACCTACAAATTAAATTCCAGAGTAGTTTGCCATAGAGATAAATAAAAAGAAAAAAAAGAAAGATGGAACAATTAACATGCAGCTAACAAATTCCTGGTCCCAGCTGTCCAAACAGGATTAATGGAGTGCATTAGGGTACAGTGAGTCATGTGGTGCTTTGCAGAGTATCAACACGCACTGCATTACATGTTATGCCCAGTGGCACTGAATAGATGAAAAGAAATAAATACGTTAAACAGATTCATAGAGGCTTTTCACAGTATTAAAAAAGCAAATTTCTAGACTACAAGAAAAAGCTTTATTTTAGTATTATGGGAAATGCAGCCTGGAGAGTTACTTTGTAATTCCTCTATTAACCCTTTAGAATTGAGTCTTTGATTTTTAAGAAGATAAAATATAGAGAATTGTCATGAATATTATCTTAGTGTATAACAGGATTTTGATTTACTAGCTGAAAAGCTTATAAGACTAGAATAGAGGTTGTATTTAACAACCAAATTCCAAGCTGTGACATTTTTCACTCTTTCTCATCGCTGCTCACGACGAGAGCCTGACCTTGGTTGTGGTCTCGTCTGCTCTTGTGAATCCAGCCGGCAGCGTCCTGTCACCTACGGTGAAACGAGAAATGCAGTAACAAGAAAAGTCATAATTTGCCCTCATATGTGCAGTTTTTCTCTTATTTCAACAATTTTGTAGGAAAGAATACAATTTTAACTGTAAATAGAAAACAACATTGATTCTAGTATAAAATAATTCATTTGGTGATATTTTATTTTAAAAAGTATGGGTTTTTTCCTTTTTAAAACATGCCAACTCCTATTGTTGATTCACCCCAGGCTTTAGGTTCAGTGCATTGTGTGATGTGACACGTTTATTAAAGAATTCCTTTTAAATAGCTGGTTACATTGGAATGTGGAAAACATTGTACTAAATGAAAAATCACCACTATATAAATTTTATAAGCATATTACTTGCCACACGGAAGTAAGTTGTGAGGAAAATTTTGATCACGTATTTTTTAGTCAAATATAATTAATATAGATGATAGTTTTATTGTCTGTACTTAAAATTTTTTCTTAGAACACTTTAAAACCCTTTAAAAGTAATGCCATGCCAGTGGACATAATTTTCAAAACATTGTTTTGCTGTCTCTTTAGATTCTGTTTTGTAGAATCTAGAACTTGGGGGAGATGATGTTCACATCTTTAGTCAGTAATTTACTGTGTAGCTTATTGTGTATTTACTCCAATCACTCTCTCAGTGTGATTAGAGGAGACACTTGTAAACAAAGTGAAAATAGAACAGGATCAGATTATCTATAGATGTCCAAATCTCTTTGTCATAAAGTATTACAACTGTTTCAGTGAATTTTGTAAAAATAGATTTTGAGTGATTCCTGAAATGCTTTTTCTTATGCTTAATCAAGAAACAGCTGAGAAGTTGACATTTTTTTGTTATTATTTGAAATTGCCTTCAACCAAAAGGAAAAATTTTTCTCCATACAAACAATAGTCTCTTTGAAATACTTTTATTAATTTCTAGTTTAAAATTATATTTATACTATTTTTTCATCCTAGAAGTTCTTTCTGTGACTTACAAGTTATGTAAAGCCTAAATGCTTATTAAAAAATATACATGTATGTGTTTACATATAGGCTTATGATACTAAAACAAAAGCACTTGCCCTTTCAAATCAGTTTGAATTTACTTCTGGTATTCCCACATATTTCTCATCTAGATCCCATGTAGTCTGTCATCTTATAGGAGATAAAGTAGATTCTTCTCTTTTGTTCCTTGATGAAGGGACTTAGTTTAAAAACTCGTCTTTTTTGGAGAGGTCTTTATTTAGGGTTCCATAAATACACAATTAACCTTTACCCTCGTCTTTCCCTCTCTAGTTCTCATTGTGAAATAGAAATAAATGATGCTTTCACAGATGCTTAGAAGGACAGATGTGAAACAGAAGTACATGTCATATATGTTCCTAATTGTGACATTGATAAAAAAAACTTCAAGGCTCAGGTTGAAAATTTCTCACCAAAAAAACTGTATATGACTTAATTATGTTCAGATATATTGCAGAAAATAATAAATGAGTATTTCTAATTAACTTTGGGTTGATTACCAATGTTCTTATATATCTGAATGATAAATTTGTATTATCTACTGAGGATATTTAAGAATAAAGAATTCTTAAAAGTGTTCTTTGTTAAACTGTCTAAGCAGTTAAGAGAGCAAGTAGTAATAACACTATGAACTCACACTCCCAGTGTCTATCATCGTGTTTTCCTGGTGCTGCACTTGTTTGAAGGTTATGATCCTGTCTCAGAAAATGTAGTCTTGCTCACCCATATCTATAAACTTAGCCATCTGTCAATTTACAAGTACCTTAAATATAGTTTGTTACAAAGTAATTTTCATGTGCACATAACCAATTAGAATCATTTAGCTGGAAGGAACCTTAAGAAGTGATTTTTAAAATGTTACAGTTAAAATGGTGCAATTAAAACTAGCCGTGGCAGTAAAGGTGTAGTTTGTGCTAAGAATAAAGGCCCCTGGCACAGCTGAGGGTTCCTTGTAGTGTACATGCGCGGTCAGCTCTGAGGTGGCTGAACAGATTATCTCATTTGTAGAGCTGTTTTCAAATTAATGTTTAATTATGCAAGTAAATGCATGAATAAATTATCCTTATCAAGAATATTAAAACTAGAGGTCAGGCTAAAGTTGCTTGTGACTACCACTTTTAATCCCAGTATCTTCCAAGTTTCCAGAAACCTCTTTGGTTTAGTTTTTCAAATCTTTTTTTTGTACCTATGTTTGTGTGTGTGTGTTAATACTCCAGGAAACTTTTAAATTTAAATACTCTCACCTGAGTGTTACTTTGTTTCTAATTCTTTTTTTCTCTTAATTTTTTTTTTTTATTAAATCACAACTGTGTCCATTAATGTGTTTCTTTGTTTCTAATTCTTATGTTAGCGTTCTTATTCCTTCTGATGACTCTTAACTTGGTGTGCTGCCCGGTAGGAGTTACAAAAAGAAAAGGTTTTGAAATCATTTTTTTCTATCAGGATCTAATCATCTGAAATGAATTCCAGACCAAAACTCTTATTACCTCTTTGTGAACAGGCCATCAGTGACCTCTTGTCTGCCTAACCCAATGGACTGTTTTTATATCTTAATTGCTCTGTGGCATTTACTGTTTGTAATCCTGCCCCATCCCCCTCGTCTCTTCTTCCTTCACTTCTGGTCACTGCACCCTTATTTGATACTCCTCCTTTTCTGGCCATTCCTTAGGCTCTTTTACTGCTTCCCAACCACCTACCACTCGGTTCACGTGCCCCACATCCAAACTTCCAGTCCTTCTCCCACCCTACACTAAAAGTTACAGAGAGCGGCCAGCTCCAGTCTGCGTGTGAGGGTCCTGCTGCCGTCTCACGCTGCCGTTTCCCAAACAGAATCCTTTCTTTCCCACACCCCCCGTAATTCCCTGCAGTCTTTGGGACACTTTCTACCCAATAGGCCAAACCAGAAACTTGAGCGTTGTGGTAGATGCCTCTCCCTTCTTCACCAATACCTGACAGGAAGACTTAGCATCATCTTCTTGATAGATCTCACATTACTTCTCTGTTCTTATTTTCCTTTTAAAAAAGGGGAAAGAG